CCGGGAACATCACGTGCCCTGGACGCGTTTCGTCTCTTCTGGACTTTGTCAACAAGGATACGGACATAAGGTTTCCAGTTCTTTAAGTACCCACTCCTAACCTGGCGGAAATACCTCAGCGGCCATCTTACAAAGTGGAAAATTGAGATGAATGACTACCAAAGCTGATATACCATGCTAGATAGTCCATAGAGGAAGCAATATTACATCCCCACCCCATAGCTCTCATCCCTAAGTTATCCTCAAGCCATACTTCAGTCCCAAGGATAATTATACCACCTGCAGCCATTTTGGAAACTGAAAGAACAATTTTAAATAACCATAAGGTCGGGGGTAACACCACCCCTTCGCCATTGATTACAAAAATCTACAAATAAAATCATTCACAAAAATTATAAAATATTAAAGAATATTAGAAGTACATACTAAAAATTAAATTAAAAAAAAAAAAATTAAATTAAAAAAAAAAAATTACATTTTAAAAAAAAAAAAAAAAATTACATTTAAAATTCCATTTAAATTTTTTGGATTTACATGTTTTCAAGTATGAGAATAGATTGTGCTTCAAAACGTTCTTTAAGGATACCGACAAGAATGGATTTATCCCGACTAGTAGTTGTCACCATCCTTTGTGGATTCAAGGGATTCCTAAAGGCCAATTTATTCGTATTATGAGAAACTGCACAAGATTGGAAGACTATATTGCACAGTCGGAATATATTAAGGAACGTTTTGTTGCTAAAGGGTATGATCAGGATTCTCTAGAGAAGATGAGATATGCAGTAAGTAGAAAGTATTTGGGAGATGGGAAGGAGAAGAGAAATATTAAGAAAAAAAGGAGGGAGGGGAAAAGTTCAATGGAATACGCTTTTATCTCCAAATTTAGTTGCCAGTATAGGGAAGTGGAGAATGTCATTAGAAAATATTGGCCGATGTTACATAAAGATGATATTCTAGCCAAGACGCTACCTGAGAAACCTTCCTTTTATATATAGAAAAAGTGATAACTTGAGGGGCCTATTAGTAAAAGGGATTATCTCCCCCCCCTAGAAAATCACGGATGTTTGGATTAACAGGTTTCTTCCCATGTAGGAAGTGTAGGATATGTAAAACGACTGGTATTAAAGTGAAAAAGATCTCCACGTTTAAATCTACAGTTACGGGGGAGGAGTTTATGATCAAGAAGTTTATAACATGCAATATGAAGTATGTCACCTACTTGTTGGAATGTCCCTGTAAAATCCAATACGTGGGTAGAACGAAAAGAGATCTTAAAATTCGACTTAAAGAACATGTGGGGAACATAAAAAAAAAGGAAGGAAGGAACATAGTGTTTCAAAGCATTTCCGTGATTTTCACAATTCGGATCCTAGTGTTCTGAGTTTTTGTGGTATTGATATTCTTGATACTCATTGGAGGGGATGTAATAAAGTACAGGAAATATCCCGTAATGAAACTTTCTGGATCTTTAAACTTAATACCTTGAAACCTAGGGGTCTTAATATTGATTTGGATTTAAATTGTTTTATTTCTGATTTTGTAATTTTTAATTTTAAAAGTAATTTTTTTTTTTTTTAAATGTTTTTTTTTTTTTTTTTTTTTAATTTAATTTTTAGTATGTACTTCTAATATTCTTTTAATATTTTATAATTTTTGTGAATGATTTTATTATTTGTAGATTTTTGTAATCAATGGCGAAGGGGTGGTGTTACCCCCGACCTTATGGTTATTTAAAATTGTTCTTTCAGTTTCCAAAATGGCTGCAGGTGGTATAATTATCCTTGGGACTGAAGTATGGCTTGAGGATAACTTAGGGATGAGAGCTATGGGGTGGGGATGTAATATTGCTTCCTCTATGGACTATCTAGCATGGTATATCAGCTTTGGTAGTCATTCATCTCAATTTTCCACTTTGTAAGATGGCCGCTGAGGTATTTCCGCCAGGTTAGGAGTGGGTACTTAAAGAACTGAAACCTTATGTCCGTATCCTTGTTGACAAAGTCCAGAAGAGACGAAACGCGTCCAGGGCACGTGATGTTCCCGGAAGTGCTGTGGCAGCCATTTTGGATTCTGGAATCCCTGTGTGTTGGAGGTCTGGAGAGTAACAGTGCACTTCAGGTGTCCCCCAGAGCTACAAAGTGATAGTGCTGGATAGGAGTAGCAAGGGGGAATTACCTGGTGATCGGGAGACCCTCTACACACGGAAAGGGGATCGTATACTGGGCATGAGGAGTTTGATGCTGTCTTGCTGATCTTATCGTTTTTATATGTAAGTGGCTACAATAAATTTTATATATGATTATAATTCACATACTGATTCCTGGTCTGTTTGTGAGGTCCTGAGGAACAAGAGGATACCAATCTAAGGACACTCTGTACATATGTGGTTGATTACAAGCTGGAATTTGTTTGTTTTAGGGTAATTATGCACTTTATATAGAGTTTGCAGTGATATTTACATTTTTTTTTTTTCACACATGAGTGCTGTGACACTGGAGTGTTTTTTTTTTTTTTTTTTTGCATGATACACGTGTGGCACTTTAGTTCTGGGATTTAAAAGGTAATATACTATGTTGAGATTTTGTTTTTTGAGGTATTTGAAGAGCACCTGTGATTGATTTGCATCTTCTTCAGTGGAGTAGGAAGCGTCTTCCTATCAAGAAATTGATCTTTGTTTGGACACATTATTTGGACACTTTGCATATTGGGACTTTATTTTATTTTTGTTCTTTTATATATATTTGATATTTTTTATTTTTGGGTAATCTCTTTGGGTCTTGATTTTTGTCACTATAATGACCACAGTAAGGCCATATTGCTGCTTTCTCAAATGAAGCTCCTAGATCAAGAGGGATATTGATAGTTTATCTCTGCAGTAAAATGATATGACACTTTTAATGAGAAATTAGTGGCTGTTTATATCTCCAGCTTTCTTGTTATTACTTGTATCATATCGGTGCTAAGAACACCGAACTATTGTGTCACCTAAACTTCCAGCACTGTTTTAGTAACATGTTTAAAGCCCAGCTCTTTTTGTTTTCTAGTACCCCAGAAGTAATAAAAAGAGGCTTTGTGTGCAACTACAACCCTCTTAATTCAGCTGGATGACTGAGGACATACTGTGAGTGTAGGGTATCATGGACCTTTGATAAAGGAATTGTGGGTATAAGCGCCTTGATATGGATGTAAGCTGCTGTACACAAAAAGGTAACCAATATCACCCTCAAATAACAATATATATAACCAGAGTGCAGAGCTAAGAAAGAGAGTAGATGCAAATATACGTATACAGTATGACTCCCCTCTTAGGACGTGCTTGAGCACGATACGCGTCAAGAGGAGCCACACCACGCCGTGACGTCACGCCGCCGGAGCAACGTGGAGCTCCGGCGGCCATCTTACTACATCTGACGGGAAGTCATCATTGATCTCCGTCTGGATTCATTGGTACACCCTAACTTGATGCATCACAATAAAAGATTTTAATACATACTACACTATGGGAGACTCTCTATTACCCCTTGGGGGAGTGCTTTAGCCCACAGACCTGCTCCCTGGATGGACCATTGCAGCACATCTGCCTATCCAGAGGGATACTACTCGCCAGGATCACAGGGGAACCCCTAAAGGGATAAGGACCACCTTTACCGGTGCCATACTACATTACACTAGAGGGAGGATTACCCTACATCTGATGACATCTGGATTTGTTTATACAAAGCGCATATCAATGCGTGTCCGGTGAGTGCGCATTACCTTCACCACTATCACACGGATACCGGACCCCTTAGTCATCAGAGCACAAGAGTCACTTTATTCTGGAGTACATATTTGAACTCTTTGCACGATACATATACATACTGTATACGTATATTTGCATCTACTCTCTTTCTTAGCGCTGCACTCTGGTTATATATAGTATCATGGACCTTTCCTCTGACAGGGAGGGGATACACCATGGGGCCCTGCACTCACAGTGTATGGACACAGAGAGCCATATACCGTATTTTTCGCTCCATAAGACGCACTATTTTCCCCCCAAAAAAGGGGGGGAAAATGTCAGTGTGTCTTATGGAGCGAATATAAAGCGGCCGGTCCGGTATTTCTGCCGCCACCATGTCAGAATACCGGGCCGGCCGCTCAGCTGTTCTCTCCTGCAGGCCTTACCTTACCTGTTCCTCGCTCCAGCGCTGCACAGTCTTCCCGCGCTGGCTTCTGTGACAGCCGGGTGCTCACTGCTCATGTGCTGCGCTTTGTGAATGATCCGGTGTGTTCTGGGACACATGACAGGTCCCAGAAGGCGCCGGGCTATTCACAAAGCGCAGCGCTTCTCGCGCATGCGCAGTGGGCACCCGGCTGTCACAGAAGCCGGCCCGGGAAGAAGGAAGGAAGGACAACTCCACGGAAGTGGTGTCAGGGATCTCCTCGATCCCCGCCGCGATGGGCCCGGCGCAGGCGCACTGCTCCACCCAGTACATGGGCACTAGGTCCGGGCGGCCGCGGCGTTCGAGTTCGCGCATGCGCAGTAGAAGCCGCGGCCGCCCGCTGGGCACCAATGGCAGCGCAGGGCGGGATATTTAAAGGTCCCTGAGCTGTCATTTCGTTGCCTTCTGGTCTTACCTGCTTCCTGTGTTCCTGTACCTGTGCCTAGTAAGTTATTTGACCCGGATTACTCTTGACCTTGCTGATTTCTCCTGCCCAGAGACCCTTGCTTGCCTGACCTCTCTCCCTGGATGCCCCTTATTAGATCTGACCTCCTGTTGCTGACCTGGCGTGTGACCCGACGATTCTGTGCCTGTTCCCTTGTACCTTACCGTCCTCTACATTATCGACTCGGCCTGTCTGACTACGCACTTGCTCCGCCATCCATCCATCCACCCCATCGAGGTCTCCCGACCTCCTCACATCTGGCTCTCCCTGGTTGGAACCCCTGGCGAACACCACTACCACTGACAGGTGTGCTCAGTAGAGGCGACCTGGTCTCGGGGTACTACAAGTCCATCCCCACCATCAGGGGCCCTGGTGAACAAGTACCCTGGGGCTTAGACTCCGCACTCTGCGCGCGCCTGACCAGTGGAGTGCTAGTGGTGCCGCTCGGCGGTCCCTCACAGTGGGAGCGGGTACCTGTCAAATTCAGGTACCCGCTCCCTCTCCCTCCCCAAAGGTCAGCAGTCTCTGGTCATCCCCTGCACTGTCTGCAGTCTCTGGTCATCCCCTGCTCTGTTTGCAGTCTCTGGTCATCCCCTGCTCTGTTTGCAGTCTCTGGTCATCCCCTGCTCTGTTTGCAGTCTCTGGTCATCCCCTGCTCTGTCTGCAGTCTCTGGTCATTCCCTGCACTGTGTCCGCAGTCTCTGGTCATCCCCTGCACTGTGTCCGCAGTCTCTGGTCATCCCCTGCACTGTGTCCGCAGTCTCTGGTCATCCCCTGCACTGTGTCCGCAGTCTCTGGTCATCCCCTGCACTGTGTCCGCAGTCTCTGGTCATCCCCTGCACTGTGTCCGCAGTCTCTGGTCATCCCCTGCACTGTGTCCGCAGTCTCTGGTCATCCCCTGCACTGTGTCCGCAGTCTCTGGTCATCCCCTGCACTGTGTCCGCAGTCTCTGGTCATCCCCTGCACTGTGTCCGCAGTCTCTGGTCATCGCCTGCACTGTGTCCGCAGTCTCTGGTCATCCCCTGCACTGTGTCCGCAGTCTCTGGTCATCCCCTGCACTGTGTCCGCAGTCTCTGGTCATCCCCTGCACTGTGTCCGCAGTCTCTGGTCATCCCCTGCACTGTGTCCGCAGTCTCTGGTCATCCCCTGCACTGTGTCCGCAGTCTCTGGTCATCCCCTGCACTGTGTCCGCAGTCTCTGGTCATCCCCTGCACTGTGTCCGCAGTCTCTGGTCATCCCCTGCACTGTGTCCGCAGTCTCTGGTCATCCCCTGCACTGTGTCCGCAGTCTCTGGTCATCCCCTGCACTGTGTCCGCAGTCTCTGGTCATCCCCTGCACTGTGTCCGCAGTCTCTGGTCATCCCCTGCACTGTGTCCGCAGTCTCTGGTCATCCCCTGCACTGTGTCCGCAGTCTCTGGTCATCCCCTGCACTGTGTCCGCAGTCTCTGGTCATCTCCTGCACTGTGTCCGCAGTCTCTGGTCATCCCCTGTACTGTGTCTGCAGTCCATTGGTTCAGAATATTTTTTTTTCTTGTTTTTCCCCTCTAAGGCTGGCCATACATTATACAATTATCTGCAGATTTTTGGTTTAGATTTACCAAAAACCATATAATAGGAGGACAAACCTAAACAACACTTTCAGTTGTATCCAATTAGGCAGGCCCTTGCACTACATAGTTGAAGGTAAATCTAAAGGAAATTGGGCAGAAAATCTGCAGATAATTGTATAATGTATGGCCAGCCTAAAACCTAGGTGCGTCTTATGGTCAGGTGCGTCTTATGGAGCGAAAAAATACGGTAATATGTATGTTACAGTAAAACTAAAGGCAAAACGTTTTTCATTTTGGATAAAGTAAGGGAGGTCTATAACCCCTGTAAGGTTTATTTTTGCCATCCGTGTCCCACTAGAGAGATTTCTCTTCACTTTCTATTCCATAGCCAACACAGAAAGTGAGAGAAAATCCCTCTAATGTTAGGGAATCCCTGGTTATCACCAGGGTCGCCAAAACTTGTGTCCCCTTTGGAAGACCACCAATTGGGGGCAACCCAAAATTTGGGATTTTATTTTACTCTCATTTTCATTCATTAACAGGACAAATAGGTTGAATCTCTCTAATGGGAACACAGACAGCAATAAAACTGAATGATATTCTAATCCCTCTACACTCTATACAAAAAAAAAAAAATTATACTTTAAGACAACTTTATCTCATTTGAATCAGTGATGATCTGTGGTTATTAATATATTTGTAAAAATCATACCAACATTTTTAACCTGCATTGAATAAAGTCATTTTTAGATAGTCCAAGTGCTCTGGATATTAGTTGTTTCTTTTTTTTTAACTTTCTTTTTTTTAATAATATTTTTAGGAAACAAAATACAGGTATAATAAGCTGCATCAAGGTCTAATCATCCAATAATGAAATAGAGTGGAACAAACATCCTAACATCATATGACACAATTATAGCGAAGAGATTGAACAATGCAAGCATATAAACCATGCATCATTGGTATTAAAAAGAAATACTCCAAAATCCAGAAGTAATACAAAAGTGCCAAAGCATGACTGTCATTATTAAGGCATATATATGGGTGGGTGGGGGGTAGGCGATTAAGTCTTTTGCAGCACAAGTCATGCAATGAAAGTGGGTAAAGAAAAAGAGAGAGAGAAAAGAACAGTAGAGAATTAGAAGAAAGGTAAGGGGAGGAGGGGTAGTGGGGATACAACCAATCCTGCCCTACTGGTCAATCCCACGCATCTCCAGATGAGCAAGACACTGAGAAAGTATATCTACTGATAGGATTATAAATCTAAAAGATGCCAGGGACGTCAGATTTTATTAAATTTGGATACGGAATTGTGAATTTGAGCTGTCAAATACTGCATATTGTGAACATTGTAGATGCCTTTGTAAAGATCAGTTTGGGAAGGTGGTAGTTGTTTCTACTTTAACATTATCAAGCATTTATCAATGGTTAGATTATGATTAATCAATTTGACTGCCGATTTAGCTGTGTTACGTAAGGGGTGTCCTAGGAGAAAGTAAACTGGATCTAAAGGAATTGGCGATTCAAAAAGAGATTCTAAAAGGGCTTCTGTAGATTCCCAAAAGAGACTTATTCTAGGGCATTCCCAATATAGCCTCCCTACAGACTCACTGCATCTCCAACAAGCGGAAGATAATATTGGATTAATATTATATTAGATTTCAGGTATAAAAGGTACCAATGAAACAGAATTTTGCATTGGTTTTCTTTATAGAATGTACATAAGGACATTTTATTGGCATAATTCCAAATGTCTTCCCATTCTTCCATTTCTAGAGTCTGTCACAGGGTGCTCTGCCATCATTTTTCTTTATGCTTTAAAAAAAAGGACGGAATTAAAAATAACTTCCCCCTGCCCCATCATTATTGGGAGAAAAAATTAGCAGTACTTTCGTCCTCCTTCACATCCTATATCGACTGGTTCAAAATGACAGGTACATTTTGAAGAAATGATGGTAAGCAGGAAAGCTGCAACTTTACAATACTTCTGTATACAACGGTGAGTTTCTAACTACAGTTAAAACAAAGTAATTCTTCCCTGGGGATGTTTCCTTTAACCACTGTTAACACATGCAATTCACCTTTTAAATATTTATAAATACATCAGATAATGTCAAGAGAGTAAGCTCAAAATGGTTCTAAGCTGCTGAAGACATCTATTGCATTTAATGTTTAAACTGGGAAAAGAACAAAAGTTTCTTTTTCACTTGAAGGCTCAGATCTCACTCGTAATTCACTGATGGCTGCTGTCTGTGACTTTGCTGTTTAGACTTCACAAACATTCAGAGCGGTCATTGCTGCTGGAAAGAACAATAGCTGGATGTCTGAAATTAGATAGTAAAGTAGAACTCCACCTTTTGAGCCAAATATAATATTGGAAGACAAGTTAGCGAAATCATAAAATGCATTAGTTACCTCTTATGTTATCATTTGCATTTATAGTCTTGATGTTACCATGAAAAAAGTTTGATAATTTAAATGGCAGCTCATCAATTTATATTTAAAAGAAAAGTGAAGGTGGGTAGTTCACCACAGGTCTATTAAATAGATTTCACTTCATAGCTCTGGCGTTCAGGTAAAGGGGGAATTTAAACATGCTTTCAGCATATCGATAAGTAAGAAGACTCAATGTCATACATTTAGGAGTATCTATTGAAGCTGTGCAGCAGATAGAAGTTCAGGCTACCGAAGGCAAAATTTTAGATTTAGGGTGGAGTCTAGTGGTCAACCTTTGAAATCCTATATGTATTGGACACTACAACAATGAGATCTCTCTTCCATAATACCTATCTAACTGAGCTTGTTTTGTGTTCCTGCCCCTCTTTGCTCATTCCAGTTCCCCCTGCTGAATCCGCCATACTATAGCATGATTTATAAATACCATAGGGATATTGGGAGACCCTGATAATGATCACATCAGGTGTACAGGCCCAGGAGATCAAAGAAATGGTCAGTTAGAGTTGCTTCACACTGGTGCAATGCAATAAGACATTATAAAACACGTATTTTACAGTGTGTTATTGTAAATGAACTGTGGTGTATTACGGTAGCATTCTATTTGACTATTACCCTAGTGCACTAACATAATGCACCCTAGTACACATGCATTCTAATGCACCACAGCCCCCACACGTAAACAATCAGTTTCTTGAATTGCAGCTCAATCAAGAAGAAAAAAAATGTTTCTTGATACATCGATTGTAAATCATAGTGCATGTCCAACGCACATGTGTTAAGACAACACACTGGTGTGAACTGGCCCAGCTCTTCAGCATCAATCAAAATCTGAAATATCAGTTTGCATAGACTGACCTTTCCTTGAAGGCAACCTATCACAAAGCAAAATATCTGTGTGATTATGCCTTCATGGAAGCCGCTATTTCTTGTCCCATGGGCTGAGTACTAACTCTATTAACAGGTAACTTTTAGATTTGCAGCTAACTAGTCTAGTCAGTATGTGGCATGTACTTTGAGGAATGGGTGTACAGTGAGGAACAGAAGTATTTTAACACCCTGCGATTTTGCAAGTTCTCCCACTTAGAAATCATGGAGGGGTCTGAAATTCACATTGTAGGTAATTCCCACTCTGAGAGAATTAAAAAAAAAACAATTCAGGAAATCACATTGTATGATTTTTAAAGAATTTATTTGTCTTGCACTGCTGAACATAAGTATTTGAACACCTAAGAAACAGCAAGAATTATGGCTCTCAGAGACCTGTTACTGTGCCTTTAAAAAGTCCACCTCTACTCCACTCATTAATCTAACTTAGTAGCACCTGTCTGAGCTCTTTAAAGACACCTGTCCACCCCACAGTCAGTCAGACGCCAACTACTACCATGGGCAAGACCAAAGAGCTGTCAAGAGACACCAGAGACAAAATTGTTGACCTCCACAAGGCTGGAAAGGGCTACGGGGCAATTGCCAAGCAGCTGGGTGAAAAGAGATCAACTGTTGGAGCAACTGTTAGAAAATGGAAGAGGCTAAAGACGACTGTCAGTCTCCCTCGGACTGGGGCTCCATGCAAGATCTCACCTCGTGGGGTATCACTGATAAGAAAGGTGAGGAATCAGCTCAGAACTACAAGGGAGGAGCTAGTCAATGACATGAAGAGAGCTGGGATCACAGTTTCAAAGGTCACTGTCGGTAGAACACTACGCCGTCATG